CGCTAAAAAAGTGACGATCCAAGAAAATGGGGTAGGTGTTATAATATATTATTATGTCACCACCAGAAGTGGCACATTGATATCGTCTCCAACGTTTTTATGGATGGTAGGCATTTGGCAGTCAGCATTCAGCTTCTGTAACAAATGGCAGGTGGTGACATTTAACTTGTTAATGCCTTGGAAATAATTATTGTTTGGTTTATTTTATAGTCATATTTTGTGCTTTTACAGATGCACAATAAATTATGCTCAAATGTAACTTTGAACTGAAAATAGGCAAGATCTTTATGAATTAATGAAGGGTCATGTTTAAAACTACAAATAAAAAAAATAAAATCAGCAAGGAATAAGTTTAAGAGAGGAAGACAAGAAAACCAAGCAGATCATTCAAATTCCTGATAGAAATGATAAGAACTGAGCAAGAGGCAGACATGTTTTGTTTTTAATGCTATAGCTTTGGAATTTTCTTTTAGGAATGCTACAAAAAATAAACATAACACTGGTATTTTAGATATTGTTGAACGAGACAATATTTAAAGTTTGTACCCTAACAAAAAATTAAAAACATTTTTAAAAATGTGTAGCCCACAGGGGAAGAGTTCATATGATGAATCTAAAATTTCTAATATGGGATATGCATTCAACAATTCTTTAGAAAAGAACACAAAAGCAATAATATAATTGACCATAGTGAATTAGGGTGCGTGTACTCTTGCAAATACAGTACCAAATAAGTAAATACAATTATTCATAATTCCATATTTTGAAATGCAAATTTGAGTGGAAAAGAGTAAAATGAGCAAGGAATAAAGTAAACAAGCATGTAGTCAACACTCTAAATTGTATAGAAATGTAAGAAAATCAGACACTTCATTCAAATTTTAAAGAGAAATTGAGCGAAATTGACATTTGCAGACGGCCTTTTCAGTGTAGGATTCTCTGACATTGACATAGTATTGTACATATTTACTTGTTGTTAAGTTCATTCATTTCTGTGTAGAATTTACTCTTGCAAATAAAACCGAAAATCACAATCAAACAACGAATTACAGAGATCTCTTCTCAAAAACATTGACCATGTCTTCTAAGAGGTCATTCTAGTGTGATAAGGTGAAAGGTCAAAACACAGTTTAGAGGCTAAACATTTTAGGATCCCATTTAAAGGAAGTTACTTTCATGCCAGGGTTCGACTTGCTCAAGGTTCTCAGTAGAAAGTTTTTCACGTATTATTTAAATGTTCTCGTTCAGGTTAAAATATAAGTGTATCTAAGAATATGGAATATGTGAACTCTTACTACTTTTGAAGGTAAGCCTGGTTATCTAATAACATTATTGTAAAACTAGACAATTATTGTAAAACTGGTCAATTATTGTAAAACAAGTCATATTTACCATCACTATGAAGCTATGTTAGCAAACATGTGATTCTGATTTTTTCAAGTACATGTATATGATTTAGCTATTGAAGTAGTTGAATAAGAGTAATATTTTTATAAAAGTTGTATTGATACATAGAGCCAGTCTTTGAAAATCACAAGTTAAGTGAACTTTATTGTATCATTACTGGATGGGATTGATCTTTATTAATATATCATAAAGTAAAAGGACAAAATACACGAGTCAGATATAAGTTAAACTTTTACTTCTGTACTTAAAACTGAGTGTATATGATTGTGGTTAACCAGTTGTGCACCCAGAATGACGGGCATTTCAAATCTGGAACTGTTTCAATGAGTATGTTTTTTTTCAGTCCCATTTTTATTATGTCACCATCACAAGTGGAGGCATTTTTATAGTCTCCAACTTTTTTATGGATGGTGTTTGGCATATGGCAGTTGGCATCTGTAACAAATTGCAGTTTGTGACATTTTGTTTGTTAATGCCTTATTCAATCTGCCAAAGACGTCCATGTTAAAAAGATGAAATGTAAACGCTTGCCAAGCAATCCTAGTTTTGGCTGATCCCAGTGGTGTTTGGATTAGACAGGTTGAACTTCATGTCAGTAATTGACAAAAAATAAGGAATGTTCTGATTTCAAGACCTTTTATCAGAGCCTAGATAATTCAAGACCCAGACATTTGAGCTTATTTGCAGTATCATGCGAACTTATTATGTCACCTCAAAAAGAATCCAATTTTTTGTGGAGAGTATCTGGTGGTTGGTGTATGGTAGTTGGTGATTGATGTTTGGCAGTCAGCATCTGTAGCAAACGACAGGCGGTGACATTTTGCGTATTAATGCCTCTGACACAAATGTGAGTGACTACATGTATGCTATGTAAATGGGCTTTCTCATGGATCATGCAACCTTTGTACATGATCAAATCCATGACCATGATCCATCAAGATCCTACATTGCTTACAGTGCCATGAGATCTGGATAGTACCCATGTGACTGTAGGATTAGGCATGGATAGTATAGTATGTATGCAAGATCGAGATTAAAGGACTCGAAAAGAAGACCGGAGAAATTTAAAAACTTCTAACATTGAGTGTGTATAAATACAAGCTTACATTATACTTATCAGTCATAACATTTCAAATGACATTTTATTGGCACTTTGAAAAATTCATTAGTGTAAGAGATAATATAACAATGCAATAGATATCTCTTCAAGCTGTTGTTCTTCTAAAACATCATCTCATGACATTTCAAAATATCCGTCTGCTCAGTCTTTTTCTCAGATTTCTCTCTAAAGTTTGAATAAAGTGTTTGATTTTCTTGCATTTCTATACAATTTAGAGTGTTAACTACATGACTGTTTACTTTATTTCTTGCTAATTCCACTCTTTTCACTCTATTTCACATTTTAAAACATGATCATCAGTTGATTTTATTCATGGGCTCCAATCATGTTGAACATTAGAATTCAATGTAGATTTATGATTGGTATATGTTTTGAGAACTGACAAGGGAGACAGGCCTGAATCTGAAAAACGTATTTAGGAATTACAAAAAAGACCTGAAAATTGACATTTTGGCCTTTTTTGAGAAATGAGGCCTTATTGACGGTATTCTAGTCCAAAATGAGACCCATTTTGAGGCCAAACTGGTTGTGGTATTATCAGATTGCATTTTAGCTGTCATTTTGATATCCTGCATTTTTCTGTAACATATTATTATATTCATATCTTGTTATTAACCGATTACTGATATTTCATGTTTACATCAAAGTATACACTGGACACCATCAAGGTTCCTCTAAATATGTTGAGATTAATTATCATGAACATATGTTTTTTATGTACTTAGCAATAATGCTAACATCAGAATGATTACACGTGTATATAATATGATTATTAATTTATTAAAGTAGTATGTGTCGGTGAATGAGGTCAAATTATTAGAAATCTATCTTGTTTTAATTTAGAGACTGGAGATGCTCAAATATTGAAAGGTGTGTCTAAGCAATATCAAACTATCATTGTTGTTTTACTTTATTTCTCTTTAAAATTTGAATGAAGTGTCTGATTTTTTGCATTTCTATACAATTTAGAGTGTTGACTACATGCCTGTTCACTTTATTCCTTGCTAATTCCACTCTTTTTCACCAAATTTTGCATTTTAAAATATGACCAGCATCACTGTGGCATTTTTATGAAGACATACTTTCAATTTCATGATCCACTCTACAGCAAAACAAGATTTATAACTCTCATGTCTAGGGTTGTCTTGAGCAAAGCCAAAACGAACCAATTAGCTGAAAATCGATAGCCGCAAAAATGTATTAATTTGGACCAACAGCTAAAAATATATCCCAAGAGGCCAATAAATTGAGATTAAAGATGTTTGCGCAATGTTTTTTATCCCGATTTCTTTAGATTGAATTCAAAATAGCAGTTTGCTCTTACTCTGCTCGTAAACATTGACTTCTATATATCATATATGTGCATAGTTTTTGTGTATTTAAGCACTCCCACCTCTTAAGTTGATATTCAGATTTCTCACACTTCTGTGTTATATATAGATACAGTAAGCCTAACTTATCAAAATGTCACTGGAACAAGCCAGAAGTGTTCAAATTAGCAGGTATGCACTTTTGTAGGTTTCTAACATGAAAGTCTATGATTGATTGAAAAATGGTACCAAAAAGTGTTCACATTGAGAGGTGTTCAGATTAGAGAGGTGTTTGGATATATACAGATTTTACTGTAGATTAACTACAATTTTTCACTGAATTTGCATGTGGCAGTTTTTTAATCACTTCTCTAAAATGAGATTGTGTCAAGTATATCCCTGAGTTCTAAGAGTCTAGTAGTAGTCCTCTACATAGGACGAATTTATAAACAGTAAAACGTATGTAAAAGGAGAGGAGGTCCTATCAAATTATGGTCCTACTCTCCATTGATTTATATGGTGACCTCTTTCCCTTATTATCTACACACAATCTATACACAATCAGGGCCAGTAAGGGCCATTAAGAAGGGGGACCATAATTTCTTTCACACCTATCTCATACGAACACCAACTATCTCATATGAACACCACCATCCTCATACGAACACCACCTGTACGAGCCAAAAGTGTTTGGCTTAGCAGGTGTTCACATTTCAAGTGTTTTAAGATAAGCGAGTCATTGATACATTGCAAATTTGGAAACAATAAAAGTCTTCAGAGGAACTCGGATAAGAGAGGTGTTCAGTTGTTCAGGTTTTACTTTACATGTACTGGATTATGTTTTGATCATGGAAGTAATTACTTGGTATGGGCTTCGATTCAATTTGGAGTTTGTATGTATGATGTAAATAGTGAGACTTTATGTTATAATACATGTATATGAATATAAAACATGCATGTCCAGTGTACGTGTATTCATTTTTTGACCCTGAGTGTATTTTAAATATTTTTCTTACATGTATTTACAATATTTACCTCTTGTGTATTTACAATATTTTCATTGAATTTACAATATCAAACATTATGTGTATTTACAATATTTCCTTTTGCGTGTTCACAATATTTACGTGTACTTACAATATTTTCCTCTTGTGTATTTCCAGGCCCTGTTACAAGCTCACGATGTCGTAGCTCATGAAGTCTACGGTGAAGACGCAATTCGCGTGACACCCCCACCAGTAACCCCATATCTAAACGGTGACACACCAGAAGAGAGTCCAAACGGGGACGTAGAAATGGAAAACGTGACGCGAGTCCGTTTGGTCCAGTTTCAAAAAAATACAGATGAAGCCATGGTAGGGACCTATATACAGTAAAACCTGTATAATCCGAACACCACTGGGACAAGCCAAAAGTGTTCGGATTAGCAGGTGTTAGGAAAACCTAATTCCTATAGGATTCTACACATAATTCACAAACAAGTTTCTCTCTTAGAACATGTAGCTTAACTTGCCTTATATGATATGATTAAATTGAAATGAAGTTAATTGAAGTCCTTAACCTAATAATTATTATACAGTACTTAAAAGTACCGCATTATAGTAAAACCTGTTGGTTTCTGATATGAATGAATATGTTAAACTAGTTCAGGGAATCAGTTGCCTGTGACACCAAATAAAAGTCAATGACTTATTTAAAGACTCATGTCAGTTGGTGAAAAATCTGTCAGGTTGGTCCAACCAAAGCAAGGAATGCCTGCCATTAAAGGAATATTCCTGTAAGAGCCCATTGTCTAGAGGTTATTTTGTGCTACCTTCCTTTATCGTCATGGCACTGTTATAAAGTTGAGAGTCAATGATATTACTTCCTGTGTGAAATCTTGAAAAATGGAAGCCTACTGGAATATTCCTTTAAATATATTGGCCAATCAATCTATATAGTGGAGTGAGAATGTGGGTTTCGGCATGCGTTCAGAGGGATTTAATGGGACATAATTTTTCATGTTGCCAGTTGAAACCCACATTCTGACTCCACTAATAGTAATGTGGTATTTTGTTTTTCTAATTATAAATATACTTTTAGGGCATTACTTTAAAAATGAGTGATAAAGGACGATGCCTAGTTGCTAGGATACTTCAGGGAGGAATGATTCATCGCCAAGGTAACAACCAACAACAATCAGATGCAAGATGCTGTATGTGTTGTCATGGCAAAAGCCATTCAGGAGCCAGATGAAGATTGTCATGGCAACTGGTGATGCTTAACACCAAACAACCTTTGCTTTTTAGCTTTCTTTTCTTCCTAGATAAGAGACTGCCATGGACAAAGCATTCATTTTTCCAGTTTAAAATGAAGAAAAAAGTTTTTCGAGGAAAAAATCTTTAAAAATCAAAAATCTTAGAATAGATAAAAAAAATTGATTTTATACTTATTATTATTAATTGATTATTTTATCCTTTTATGAAATAATTGCAAAATCACCAATTTTCTTCACTCATTTGGATTGATATTTTTATATGATTCACTTAAATGGATGCTTTGAACGTGTCAGCTTCTATGTATAGTCTTCATTTTAGATGTGTTGTGCAGCTTTTGTTTTTATGATAAGTTGTCACTTTTGGAAATTATTCCAAAAAATTGATTTTTTAAAAAATACATCATATGAAGCATTTTGGAATAATTTTCAAAAGTTGATTTGTGTTGTTTAATGGTGAGATTGTGTCGACAAAAATTGCTTTTAATTTCACACAATTACAAATGACTTAAAATAAGCAAAATCATCATATCAGAATGAGATAAATGCTTATGGGTATTTTTGAATCTTCTGAAAATTGAATCTTCATCAGTCTCACCATCCTATCCCATGATGCACTTAGCACTAGCATTTTATTTCCCACAATCCCCATTGTTTCAATGATGAAAGACCCATAATCCTCTACTGATTGAAGTGCCACCTATATTTCAGGGTATAACATTAAAGATTTTAGACGGTACTTGTACTGTAGCTCGAATATTACATGGGGGCATGATTCACCGTCAAGGTAATGTCTAAATATGAAACTACCATGAAAAGAAATCATAAATGATTTCATAAATATTAAAAATGTGCCAATCATATTCACCGCTTTTAATGTTTATGTTTAAATATAAGGCATGTTGTTTGTGTTTAGTTAATATAATGTTGTCTGCTTTGTTTGCTTTTAGTTTCTTATTAACATTGTTTCTTGAATTCCCATAATCCTTTGTAATTGAAGACAAACCAAATGATGGAACATTTTTCGAAAAATTGGGTAGATGATGTCGCTCTGTCTTACTGGGTCTTCATGTGAAAGGGATTATTGAGAATTTGAAAGTTTGGATAAACATTTTAGGGAATACAATTAGTATTTGATAGTGTTTCTTAAAGTTTATTTTAATGATATTATATTTTGAGCTTAATGTCATTGAGTATTGTCCAGTTTGTTTCCGAGTAGAATAAATATGATCTCTCACATTATTATGGATTAAGTTTGAATATTCCCATAAATTTGGGTAATTTTGGTAAAAATAATTAGAAAAATGGGTGTGTTGCAATTGTCAAAAAGTCCTTGAAAAAGAAAATGGAATGCCTCTATAGTATCAATGCTGGATTCTGAAAACTTAGATTATATTGAAATTTTCAGGAACTCTCCATGTCGGTGATGAAATTCGAGAAATAAACGGAGTCAGTGTATCCAACCAATCAGTAGAGGCCTTACAAGAAATGCTGGTATGTAACAATGATTCCTGTTGGTTGGTCTGTAAAAATTATTCACTTAAAAAATTTATATGCCTACCCTGTACACATGGAAGTTTTAAATTAGTTTTACATCGAAAACATATTTTATATTGGTGATAAAAGATAGAAACAAATCTTTTTTCAAAAATTGCAAGATTTCAATATCAAAACTTTCTCAAACACTATTACAGGCAATTCATTGATTTTATAATTTGTATACATGTAAAGTCACTTACATATTTTTGAAGAATTTATGCATTTTTGATGGTTTTACATATTTTCAACTAAATGACCAAACATTTTATTACACATTGCATGTCTTAATGTGTTAAACTTAAATTTTGTACATTTAGCGAAACATGTCAGGCTCAGTGATATTCAAGGTCATTCCAAATGCTAGTTACCATGACGATGCAGACAACAATAGTGTGCAGGAGGTAATGACAGTAGAGAAGTGAATATTGTATTTGTATGTGGCGCGCCATGAATTTATCAAACACCTGGTAAAATCATGGTTTAAATGTTGGCACAGAGCATACGGAATGATGAACTTTTGAGCAATATTTTTTTAACAAAAAGGCTTGAATGATATGAGTCTGAAATTGTTTTTCTCGATCAAACGTGCCTCATTAGTTTGTTATTCCCAGAATGCTTTGCGTGGCTGTTTCACAGTTCGTTGTATAAGAAGCTGTCTGAAGATTGCATGGTGGTCATGTTTACGAGACAATGAAATCTTATTAGCCATGTTTTAAAATGCAAAATAGAGTGGAAAAATTGGAATTAGCAAGGAATAAATCAAACTGGCATGTCATTAACACTCTAAATTGTATAGAAATACCCAAAATTTGGAAATTTCATTCAAATATTAGAGAAATATGAAGAGACTAAACATGGCCTGAAACATTTGATACATAAAATTGTCCCTCTTAAAAATTCCGGCATGTTGTATTCAATTCATCAATGATATAGTCCCTGTTGTCATAGCAATCCCTCTATAGTATTTTCTCCATGTCAAAAATGTGACCACCGTGATAATTTGGACGGCAAAAGCGTGACGTGTGTTAACGCTTCACTTGTCATTTACAGAGAGATGCGCGAGGAAGCGTAACTTTAAAGATCGTACCAAGCTATCGAAACACAACTGCACAGTGTGAGGTACTGTAAAATAGCATGTGTCCCTTATCCATTGAACCATTTCTCAAATAAAACTCATGTTTTTTCATTATTAAATTTATGGGCTTCTTTAAGATTGTATGCCTCCTTCTTGGGCAGAGTCTTAAGATCCAGAATTCCTTCTTCTGCAAAGAATTCCTTTGCAGAAGGATTAGGAACTGAATCTGTGTACCTGCTTTGGAGGATGGATTGTGGGTAATGACCTCCTGTGTTTCTCTCACATGAAAATCAAATGAGTTAATGAAAAAACATGAAAATTCTGTAGCTTTTACAATTTTCTCATGTTTTCAACTTGAATTTCAAATGTCTCATCTGGGCAATGAATATTCATAATTGAATCCATGCGAAAAGCAAACCTCTAGATCATAGATTTGATTTGAACTCCTTTCCCTTCCCTTTTACGGTAACTTGGGCTGTGAAGTGGAAATTTCCCCTTCCCCTTTTACAGTAGCATTGGCTGTGAAGTGGAGATTTCCCCTTCCCCTTTTACAGTAGCATTGGCTGTGAAGTGGAAATTTCCCCTTCCCTTTTACAGTAGTATGGGCTGTGAAGTGGAAATTTCCCCTTTCCTCCAACGGTAGCATGGGCTGTGAAGTGGTAATACGCATGGGGTGATTGAAAAAGTGCGCATAATTGGATGAACATAATGTAGGTGCGCATGAACCTACATTGCATTATATCTCATATAGTTGTCATACTCCGTCGAACAATATCACTATATTACTTTGACAAATAACTTAAATACCATTTTTGAAATGTGGGGACTATGTTTTTTTTGTAAATTGGTAAACCTTGAGCAAAATTTGGGCAAATTTTGAAAATTTGGCAAAACTAGGAAATTTTTATCATTTTTTAAACAAGATTTTTAAACTAAAAATTCCTAATATTGAGGCAACCAGAAGAGTCAGAAAAAACCAAATGCTTGTTATATGCTTGACATGCACATACAGTAGCACATCAGTAGCTATTGAAAGTACATGTATTGGTATGACTGTATTTGTGTTTTTATCACACCATCGGTGGGATATAGTCGTCATACTGGTCGTGATCGTGGTCGTGATCGTGATCGTGGTCGTGATCGTGGTCGTGATCGTGATCGTCCCGCTTTTTGTCATCGCCGTTTAAGGAAAACTGCTCATCAGATTTTCTCCAAATTTGCAGAGATGATAGAGCATATGAAGTACTAGAGCTGATTAACTTTTGGGTGGCCATCTTGTTTTCTGGCGGCCATTTTGAAGGTTTTTTGAAAAATCTTGTCATCGTCATTTTAGGAAAACCGCTCATCGGATTTCCTTCAAATTTACACAAATGATAGAGGATATCAAGTATTACAGCTGACTAACTTTTGGGCGGCCATCTTGTTTTCTGGCAGCCATTTTGAAGATTTTTCGAAAAATCTTGTCATCGCCATTTCAGAAAATCCGCTCATCGGATTTCCTTCAAATTAACACACATGATAGAGGATATCAAGTACTAGAGCTGATTAACTTTTGGGCGGCCATCTTGTTTTCTGGTGGCCATTTTGAAGGTTTTTGAAAAATCTTGTCATTGCCATTTCAGGAAAACCGCTCATCGGATTTCCTTCAAATTCACACAAATGATAGAGGATATCAAGTACTAGAGCTGATTAACTTTTGGGTGGCCATCTTGTTTTCTGGCAGCCATTTTGAAGATTTTTCGAAAAATCTTGTCATCGCCATTTCAGGAAAACCGCTCATCGGATTTCCTTCAAATTTACACAAATGATAGAGGATATCAAGTACTAGAGCTGATTAACTTTTGGGCAGCCATCTTGTTTTCTTGTTCTTGAAATTTGTAAACATAATAGGAGAACATTTTTCCTGGTTCATAGTGTCTGCCTATTTGATGGTGTGATCTCGTTCACGTCCTGTGCCTTGTTCCACATTTTTTTCATTTGCTCATTATCAAAGATGGGAAAATTCAACAGATAACATCACAAAATTAAACCAAATATCTTTTAACTGAACAAAATTGTAAAAGATGAAAAATGAGATAAAGCATGAGTATGTCAATTATATATGACGCGTTTAGTTAAGTGGTGTGGGTTTAAAGGTTTATAGAAGAATTGTCATACATTATATGTGTCAAAATTGCCATATCGCTATACAGGGTGATCACTTAGTTCTAACATTTTATGATCACCCTATATAGCTGTGGTGATTGGTGATCTGTAGCACTGTTCTTTTGCACAAACATATTTCTTGTTTTTGAATAATCCCTGCCCGCGTGTGTGAGATTATGTTTTGTACCCTGCATGACTTTAAATATTGTCATATTCCTCAGGAAACTTTATTTAGGGACTATGTCAAATTGGAATAATTCATTTTTGCAACATTAATTTCATTAGGGGATGTATCAAAATGATGTTTCAATAAAGCATTGAGATGGGCCCTTAGATTATGTTCAGAAAGATTCTTTAACAACAGTAAATTTGGTGTCAGCCTATTGTCTCCCTATCCTTATATCCCTATCCTTATATTCACATCCTTAAATGCCTTTCCTTATATCCCTATCCTTATATCCCTGTCCTTATCTCTTTTTGTAATCTCCATTTTCTGTTTTCACCTTAGATGTACATTTTCATAAGGACCCCTAATTATTCCCTAGCAACCATTGTTGTTGATGATAACTCCCTAGCAACCCTTGCTGTTGATGATAACTCCCTAGCAACCCTTGTTGTTGATGATGGCTCCCTAGCGACCCTTGTTGTTGATGATAACTCCCTAGCAACCCTTGTTGTTGATGATGGCTCCCTAGCGACCCTTGTTGTTGATGATAACTCCCTAGCAACCCTTGATGTAAGCTACAACACCCAGGCAACCCTTTAGGATGAATATGATGCCGTAGCAACCCTTGGTATTACCTATAATCCCATAGCAACCTTTATGTTAATTGTACTTTCCTAGCAACCCTTGTTGCTCACTGTATATCTGAATACACTAAGTTAGAGTTGATATTTTTGATATCTTGTAATGTCACCTCCAATAGTGGTTACATATTGTTATAGTGTCCAACTTTTTGTGGATGGTGTTTGGTGGTTAGTGTTTGGCAGTTGGTATCTGTAACAAATGGCAGGTGGTGACATTTTGCATGTTAATGTCTTGTTATTGATATGTTAACCTCTATACTTCCATAAAAAAGGAATTAATGTAACCAATCTTGATTTTGCAACTTTTAGCAATTTGATATTTTATTTAATTAAGTGCTACATTCATTGACAAAATTTCCTCGAGAAATGTGTGGGAGAACATTTATCAATGTTCTTTTTGGCTCCATTATTAGAAGTCCAATTACTTAAATTGCTAAATTGAAAAATGCCTTTTGATTGGTAATACCATATTTGGTGATGCATGTACGGAGTACGGAGTTTGTAATGTAGATTGAAATGAAAGGGTAGATCATTGAATATTTGGGGAACTGTTCTTCTGTAAAAAAAATCCAATTAGATTTTCACCTAGATTGAATGGTTTACCTTTTTGGATGAAATACATTTAAAAGGCATGATTTACAAGGATTTTGTAATATTTCCAAGCATTGCACCCCATCATGTGTTGTGAAATATTTTGCATGCATGCATTGATTGCATGTTAAAAATATTGTAATTTATGGTGAGTTTCAGTTGTATCTACAATATTGCCAAGTTACATTGACTGTGTCTACTGGCGGATCTGCTTTAACACAGATTTGTTCATATTATTACTGGTATATCAATGGTTAAATATTCATCATATACATGATTGGTTAATTTTATGGTTGTGTAATTGTTGATAAATCACACAGGTACTGACGGGTTAATTATTGTTGTGTATTATTAGTTATGTATAGCCCTATGTTTTGATTGGTTGTTGATATACTGTACTTTACACTGATTGGTTGTCTATACATGTACTCACATGAGATTGGTTTATTATACAGGACAGAGGTCTAATTGATCTTTCTTTCTGATTGGTTAATATGTTTTTCATTATTGGGTAATATGGCACTTTTGATTGGTTGATTTAAATTTGATTTACTTATGATCAATTACCTAAGACCTCCCAGGCCCGTAGCCAGGATTTGCCATTGCCAAGGGAGGGCACTTTTTAAAAAAAATCCAGGGTGGTTCACTTTTGACAACTTTGGCCCTAAAATGGCCAAAATCACTTGAAAATTGCTCAGAATAGTGAAAAACTGCATGATTTATGAAATATTGGCCCCAACCCTCCCTAGCTAAGGGCCTGCCTCCTCCGATTGGCTCATTCCGATTTTACTGTGATTCATTGATAAATACTGACATTTGATTGGTTATTCTAGATCTATGTGAGAGCACTGTTTGACTACAACCCAACAGATGATGAGCTCATACCCTGCGCTCAGGCAGGCATTCCATTCACGGTACGTCCTCCCTCTTGAAATATTTACTCAGTGCTGTTGAAGTAATCAAACATACAGAGGTACATGTACTCTTAAACAAATAAATTGCTGAATTAAACAGAAATATAGAGAAGTTGATGCATTCATATTATGGGATACAAGTTGTACATATTTAGTTTTGCGTTGTGTATTTGAGATAAGAAAATTGGGAGAAAAATCTGCCAGTTGGTGATATAGCTACAAAAATGATTTTGAAAGTACAGGTAGATCACTGTTGAAATCGGAATAAAACAGAAATAGCTAAAATTATGACATTAAAAAACATTATTTAAAGGTTGGTGATATCATCCAAGTGATAAGTAAAGATGACCATAACTGGTGGCAAGCTAAGAAGTGGGGTGCATCTGGCGCTGACCCCGCAGGCCTTATCCCTTCCCCAGAGCTACAAGAATGGAGGACAGCATGTGCCGCCATCGATAAAGCAAAACGGGAACAAGCAGGTATGACACCTATTGCATGTATGTTGAACTAGAAAATGAATATTTACAGGGTGTCCAAAAGGTATATTTATAATTACAGTGCAAAGTCTGGGTTAAGTGTAACAAGACTATATGAACACCCTGTATATGCGGAATATATGGGAAGATATAGAGGTTCAAGTACAACAATGCATGAATTAAGTATGGAATGACTATTAAGCAGAGGCTATAGAGAGTCCAGCAGAGTCTCTGACCATAGCAGTCTAAGGAAACTAAAAATCATTTCATACCTCACAGAGACCATTATTAGTAAAATTCCACAAAGCTATCTTTGTAGAGATTCAAAGTTAAATCTTTTCAAAGGGTATACCTGGGAAAGTGAGGGTATTTCTAAGTTAGTCCTAAAATGGAATATACCTAGGGTGACAATTGGCATATTTTTGTAGGAATATTTAAGAAAATGAAAAAGTAGACACTTCTATCAAAGGACCAGTTGCTTTTTAAAAGCAATCTTTCAGACAATCCACTCAAGGGTCAAAAGATTTCAAAAATGCATTGTTTTTGGTAATTATTGGCATTATAAAATGTTACAATATTGTATTTTTAATATGGGATGTCCATAAAGTCTCTTTTCACATTACACAGGTTTTGTATTGTAATTGTAAGGAGTCTATATTGACAACCTTTATATCAACGGAATAAACAAAAAAGAATAAACAAATATTGATTTCAGTGGAATTGTTGGTTTTAGCAACTGGTCCTTTTTTCTAATTGAGAAAAAATCAACTAGTCTTAAGGGTCATCTGTTAAATATCAACCAGTTGGGTAATTGGGGGCATAGCCAGAATCTAAAAGTTGCCAAGGCAAATTTGAATTGCTGATGCAAATTCAGATTAAAGGAGGTACTTTAGAACTAATGACTTTTATTTAACACGATTATTTGAAAAAATGTCTGAATATATATATTTCTGTAAAATTTGGTGTTTAAAGTTTGATGGGATAAAAATGCTACAATTGGACATCATTTTCAGTTTCAAATTAAAGATCAGTTAGAATATATATTTCTGTTAAATTTAGTGAGGCAATAGCCTCGCCTGCCTCATGCCTGGCTACACCCGTTGTCATATCAACCTACCTTCTGTTGTCCTAGTTTGTTTTCACTTCTGGTAGTTGACATTGGATGTACAGTACCACAGGACCAATAATGCTTTGGCTTAGGCCCTGTTTATGCTGTAGATTAATATTGTTTAAATAAAGGAACCATAAAAACTAAAATAAATTGGATGTACATGTACATTAAAACCTGTCTAATCTGAACACATCTGGACTGGCCAAAAGTGTTCAGATTAGCAGGTGTTCAAATTTCAAGGTTTTATTAACATAGAAGCCAATGGGAGATACCAAATTTGGGACCAAGAGTGTTCACATTAAGAGGTGTTCGGATTAAAGAGGTGTTCAGATATATACAGGTTTCACTGTACTCATAGGGTTGACATTAATCCACAAGGAGTGAAAAGATATAACAAAGAAAATTGATTGGTTGTTTGTAACTTACATTGGAGTCATTAACAAAAACTATTTAGAAGTCAACCAGTCCATTGTTCACTAACTGTGGCTTCATTATACAATTCATTCAGGAATTCCTCCCTTTATGAAGTTTAGGTTGATGCCCCTTTGGTTGGTATTTAACAGACTAGGCTTGGTGATAATGAGTAGGTTTCGTTGTCAAGGAAACAGCTTTTCATCTGTTCTTGTTGTTTACTTGTATGGCCAGCTAGCTGCAACTGCTGTTGTCCTTGCTCAGGTAGTTACAGTTACTATGGTAACCATCTTTGTTGCTACATGGTTACCACTTTTTTGTTTTGTTATGGTTACCAATTTTGTTGCTATGGTAATGAAAATTTTCCATGTGTTTTTAAAGCAGTTTTTTTGCTATGGTTGCTATATTTCATGGTGTTTTTACCATTTTTGTTGCTATGGTTACCATTGGTTTTAATATTAGATTTTATTTTGTATTATTTATGAGGTTATTTTACAATATTTATTGTTGGTGTGTTTTACACTTTACCTCTAAAGTTATTTCCAGAAGTATGTATTATTCTAAAATAGGGGTTTCTCAATGTTTATAGCTTTAATGAATTTGGGTTTAGAATGAATAACTTAAATTTGTTTTTACTGATGTTAGTCTCTTAGTTTGGGTTTTGAAATTATATTTTTATTGAACCTAAAAAATAATGCTGATTATATTAGAAGCTTGTGGGGTGGGGGTAGGCATAGTGTTTCTTTTCACGTTTCTGCATTTTCAGGTAAACCACTTGAATCAATTTGAAATCTTCATGGGTGACCTTTGGTATGAAAATCTACATCTTGGGCATGCTGGGTAAATCATAAAGCAGCCATTGTTGATTTTTAGATATGATAACGTTCACCTTGTGCTGTTCTTTTCAGTTTGAGCTGATTTATCAGTTTTGTCTGTTCTGAATCGTTTTGAATATTATAATGACAAATAAGTTTTCTTAAATTATGATCCTTCTAGCCATTCAAACATGCATGTCATTTGCTCTTGGTGGTATTTCTAATTGGGGGTTGCCAAAATTAGAATAGTTTTATAACATGCATAACATAAATTCTAAATTTGCCATAGTAACATCATGAAAATACAATTGGAAACTTTTGTTTTGTTTTTTAAAGGAATTTCAAAGCCCTTGCTGGTTGCCCCATATGTGTAAATGCATTATAATTGTGGCTTTTATTTCAGTGAATTGTTCATGGTTTGGACGCAAAAAGAAGCAATATAAAGATAAATACTTGGCCAAGCATAATGCTGTATTCGACCAGTTAGATCTAGTCACTTACGAAGAGGTTGTTCGGCTTCCAGCGTTTATGCGTAAAACTCTCGTCCTACTTGGTGAGTAAACATGAAGAAAACAGGGCAGAAGATTCGGCCAGAATTTGGCCTTTTTCAAGTCTTTAAATGTGTTTGTGTATTTTTGAGAACTTAATTTCCATTCTTTGTTCAAATAGACTATGAATTAATGGCATACAGGGTCAGAATGGAACTTTTGTCACTCAACCCCATAGCCATAAAGAGTGTTCCTGATATAACAAATGCTTAAAGGCCAATTGAATATACATATTTTTTTTAATAATTATCATCACATTAAGTGAGCATCACCGGTAGATTATCAATAAAAATATGATCTTATTTGACTTTTACTGGAGAAAATGTGTGTTTAATTATATATTTGTTCAACATGAATAACAAATGCCAATTTTTTATCAATTTTAAACATGAATCAATTTATCGAACAAATAATCATAGATAATACTAGGGAGAGATGCTGGGAGCAGGAGGGGTGAAGTTTCCTGATTAGTAAAAGCCTGATCCGAAAATTAACTTTTAGCTGGTGAAAATATGTGTTTTTATTCTAAACTATTCTGTTTCAGGTGCTCATGGTGTTGGAAGACGCCATATAAAGAATACACTAATAACCAGTCATCCAGAACGATTTGCATATCCAATACCACGTAAGTTTTACCTTATACTGACGATTTGCATATCCAATACCATGTAAGTTTTACCTTATACTAACGATTTGCATATCCAATACCACATAAGTTTTACCTTATACTAACAATTTCCCAATACCACGTAAGTTTTATCTTATACTAACAATTTGCATATCCAATACCACGAAAGTTTTACCTTATACTAACGATTTGCATATCCAATACAACATAAGTTTTACCTTATACTAGCAATTTGCATATCCAATACCACGTAACTTTTACCTTATACTAACAATTTGCATCTCCAATACCACGTAAGTTTAACCTTATACTAGCGATTTGCATACCCAATACCACGTAAGTTTTACCTTATACTAACGATTTGCATCTCCCATACCACGTAAGTTTAACGATTTGCATATCCAATACCACATAAATTTTACCTTATACTAACAATTTGATTTTCTTGCATTCTTATACAATTTAGAGTGTTAATTACATGCCTGTTTACTTAATTCCTAGCTAATTCCACTCTTCTCCACTCCATTTGCTTTCAAAATATGACAATAATAAAAAAAATTCTCACATTTATTTGATTCAAGATACCACAAGACCTCCAAAGAAAGATGAAGAAAATGGCAAAAATTATTATTTTGTATCGCACGAACAAATGATGGCAGACATCGCAGCCAATGAGTATCTTGAATACGGGACGCACGATGATGCTATGTATGGGACTAAAATTGAGACCATTAGACAAATACATGATCAGGGCCTAATGGCAATCCTCGATGTAGAACCACAGGTACCTGTCATTCTGAAACTTTATTAAACTAATGATATATTCACATCCATGGAAACATTATACAGTAAAACCTGTCTTAGTGAACACCTCTCTCTAGTGAACATCTAGTGGACACCCTTCCTCCCCACATACTCTATCGACTTATTTCTAAACAAATTATCCTCTCTGTAGTGAATATCTACCTACACTGAACATTTTTTCTTGGCAATTTCATGTTCAATATACACAGGTTTTACTGTACATGGCAAAAAAATTATCAATTAAACAGTTAATATTGATGTGTCTTGAACTGTACTAAAGACACACGACAGTTTATTTATAAGATTCACTAAATTGTATGAATATTTTGTTGTCTTAAGTTTTATTAAATTTAAAGAAGTTGCCTCTGATGATAAAAATGCCACAGTTCCGTAAAAAGATGTAACCACTATGAATGTTTTATCAAAAAATAGAAGATTAAAGAACATATTTTGTTGAACTTCTATCTAATATTATGTTATATTTTAGTAACTTAAGCTTTTTTTGTATTTTAGAGAGTGCTTTAAAATATAATTCCTTCCCCTTAAATACCATAAAAATGATGTCTCCATAGCTGCTGTTCTGAATATAAATGTAAAAAATTATTTTTTTGATATTTGAACAAGTTCAACATATATATATACTCTATATATATTTACTCTTTTCTTTTACCTTATATCATTGTATACCATGTAACTGTCTAAATGAATAGACGCAAATAAAGAATACATACACAAGGGGCGATCCATTTATTCTGATAAAAATTCTCTCATTTTGTGATTTTTTCATGTACATTTAGATTCTTACTTTTCATTTTTTAGGCATTAAAAGTATTACGGACAGCAGAGTTTGCACCATTGGTCTCTTTTATAGCAGCACCTCTTTTGGCATCTATGTCCGAGGTAACATCACGTCACACGTTATTGCTAGGCAACTAGCCCTCGTTGTTGCGAGGCAGCCCTCACATGTTGTTGCTAAGTAATCAGCACCTATTGTTGCTAGCCAACTGAAACTTTGACACACTTTTAGGACACCCCATTGTGAACTATACCTTTAGGCAAATTTGGATTTTTCCATATTTTTCTGCCGATAATTTGTCATATGTCATGCTTTATTAACAGAATCGGAAAAAATTAATTGATGAAATCAAAAAGGCAAATCAAGTCAAAACTTTTTTTATGAATTAAAATAAATGAAAAAATTCTCAGCAATAGTGTTGAATAAAGATGACATATGACATCTTAATCAAAGGTTTATTATTTACCATTTTATTGGTGTGTTTGACTAAATGTTTATTGAATGCATGGTTTACATTTTGCAATTTTCAAAACAAGAGAGGGCCAATCTCCCAGCATTCACCTAGTTTTTAGCAGTTTGGTGTATGCTGGGGCAATGATACCTCCTTTGTTTTGCATCCACTAATCTGTCATTATTTGTGACATCAGATTCATTATTGCTGACATCATTTGATGTCATAATATGACATCACATTGTTAAATTAGCTTATTATGACACAGTCATGTTACTGATTTAATATTCTCTGTTATCAAGTGTATATAGAAATCATCATCTGATGTCATAAAGATGTCATCTTGAGTGATGTCACATTTAGTCTTACATATCACAGTTTTTTGACCCATAATAATCAATATTGGCTATATATGATGTATATAAGACTAAAACCTGTCAAAATTGAAATGAATGACATTTTGCTCCGCCTATGCTCACAACCTTATAATCTTCTAAACACAATATTCTCATAATGTATATTTTTACTGAAAACTACATTACATATGCCAAATGTTGATTCTTTCGGGTCCTTTATAGTAGCATCTGTCTTTTAAATGTCACTCAGGTCATGAATTTTTCATGCTATTTCTCTCTAATTTTTGAATGAAATATTTATTTTTTCTTCAAATTTCCATACAATTTAGAGTGTCCATTACGTGCCTGTTTTTTTTTTATTCCTTGCTGATTTCACTCTTTTTCACTCTATTTTGTATTTCAAAACATGACCATTGTGACATTTAATTGATGGTATGTTGTATTGTTCTCTCACCATACTAAGAATCGTTAAACTAATTTGTTTAAGAAATCTTAGTTGTGTCTAAAGCCTCAATGACTTCATGCATTAATATTTATTAAGAAAAAATACCAATATCTGCAAAATCCCATATTTTTGAGGGAGTACACCAGGTTGAATGTTTTTTCAAGCAGATATTATGGGGCTTATTTTAAAATTTTCGAATTGGCATGAACTCATTTGAACACAGTCATAGATTTTTGTCTATAAGGGGGGGAATGTCCCAGAATTCTTAGATTAACCTATAGATATTCATCTCTATAATCATCTATGAATTCTGGGTTATTTCCTCCCCCTTGTCTATTTTAGGATTAGACACACTTCACCTGACCTCACCACACTAAAGCCGTCTGCTTTTTGAAAGTTTCCCACCATTTTTGTTTTACTCGTTATTTCAGTTCATCTTCAGATTTCGACATTTCAAATTGAGTGAGAAATGTCAGTCTGTTATTACTAAGTATAGACTAGCCTTTTTGTGTTGGCATAGTAACAGCATGCTCATTGGTCAATCCTTTTTAGGCTTTGAAAGTTTTGAGGGCCGCAGATTTTGCGCCATTTGTTGTCTTCATAGCAGCTCCATCTTTATCCTCTCTCACTGAAGTGAAAGGAATCAATGTAAGTGACCTAATAATATTGTCATGACAACCACTCCAAAATCAAGAAAAAAAGATCATTCATATCTTTAAATAAATTATCCCCAATTTCTATATATTTTTAACAAATAAATTTGGATTTAGAATCTGAAAGTCTTCTTGGCATCCTATCAATTTCACAATTTTATGGACGCAATAAATTATGACGTAATCAGACGCTTCATAAATTATAAGTTATACGGGAATGATAAACATGCTATAAGGGAGTTGCGAAATATCTCTATTATGACACTTTTCACATCCAAACTCTCATAAAAGCATTGTTTATCTTGACGACAGATTTCAAAATATACCATTCATAAAACAACATTTTTTTAAATTCTTGAAACACAAATATTCCATAAGTTCTTATACATAGCCAGAGTTATGAGTCAAGATATTTATAAGTTCACATCTTTTTCTTTTTTTTCTTAGACACTTAATCTTCATAGTTTAACTACATTTGCAGTAAAACCTGTATATCTGAACACCTCTCTAATCGTAACATCCCTGAATGTAAACACTTTCTCTCAGTCAGTATCATAATCTCCCATTTGCTCACATATTAAGAAATCTTGAAAGGTGAACATCTACCAATCACTTTTGACCAGTCCCAGTAGCGTTCAGATTATTCAGGTTTTGCTGTATTTTGAACTTTGAAGCGATTCGATTTTTACATAGTCATGTTTAATAAACAAACAGATTTGTATTTTTGATTGATCTTTGTTTTGGTTCCGTTTTTTTTTTACCAAAATTCTTTGTATGTGAGTCTTTTATTGAATGACATACAGTATCGCTCACTACAATGTACAAAAAAGACTACAACTACGTACTTGAAAACTACAAACTACAAAACTACTATACATCAGATTCACATGTTACAAGTACATGTACTAATTACAAAACATCAGTATGATATATCTATATGATACATGCTTTCAAAACATTTGTGCATAATACTAATAATTTCTAAATTTTTGAATAACTGATAGAAAAATTTTGCAAAATGTAAGTTTGATATGGGAGTTTCAAACAGATAATTTACTGTATCAGAATCCACTTGTCTCATATTAGTGGAGCTAGAGAGGGAGCAGGGTTGGTGAATCATAAAAAGTTATTTTGATAATATTTTGATAATTTGAGTCTACCACACAATGAATTGTACTTGCTACTAACTTGATGTAAATTGAAATAAACTAAACTACAAATACATTAACAAAAGTTGCAGCCAGTTTACTTAATTAAGGATTTCTAATTAATTATTTTAAAATTTATTGTAGGACGGAAGCCTTGAAAGACTAGCCAAGGAATCAGATTTGCTCGAAAAAGCCTACGGACATTTTTTTGATTTGAAAATCGTAAACAACGACATAGAGGAAACAATACATGCTCTTGAACAGGCCATAGATGAAGTGTGCTCTACACACCAGTGGGTACCTGTATCATGGGTGTATTAGTGTCACATCACAAAATGGCTGCCATTGTTACCATAGTAACCATTATTCAAAATGAGGCTGTTATATATGTGACATCACAAAATGGCTGCTGTTTTAACCATAGTAACCATTCTTCACAATAAGGCTGTAATAAAGTGATTGCCTATAAATAAAGCTGGTTGTGATGGTGCAGTATGGAGATGACTATTACCATAGTAACCAATATTAACAAAGATGAAATACGATGCAGGCTTTTTAAAACAATCAAAATATTGATGCCAAATTATGATAATTGCTGTTGTCAAGGAGACAAACAGGTGTAAACAAGGAAACTGCCTGGTTGAAAGTATTAAACTTGAAAAACTTCTGTTACCATAGCAATGTACTAGAAAACTTTAATCAAGTATGATATGAGAATGAATAAAAGTTCAAACAGAAGCAATGGTTAATAATTGTATTAGAAAGTAACAAGTTGACTGTTGCCAACACTAGTTGCTATAGAAACGTAATTTATTTGGTTAACAGTGGATGAAACTGACATGACTTTTTATTAAGGTTAATGTAAGATTGAATATGAAATACTATTTATATGTGATCAAATATGGTAATATGTTTGAAATTAACTAATACCATTGTCAATGCCAATGTGGTCGGTTGCTATAGTAACAATGAAAAACAGCAACCAAACAACAAATACCTGGTTACATAATTAAATCTATGCAGTGTACACTTCCTATTGTCATAATTTATCAACAAAAGTCAATTCATGTCTCAGTAGCCAGTATAATGCAATGCCCCAAAAAAGCAATTTGCCCAATAAATGAATAAATGGAACATGATATTCTTGGGACTTTGCCTTATACTGCCCATCATCAAATCAGTTTGTTTACAAGTTGTACATCAATCAGATCATTGGTCTGAATCATTTAGTTTTTTCATTCAATCAACTTGATGTAAAATTATACAAAATTTATTTAATCAATTTATGCTGATTCATTAAGTTTATTATCAGTTTGATATTGAATTTTTTCATTTTGTTTAAAGTGGTAGTCATCATTGTATATTATATTGAGAGTGAGACTGACTGACTCCTATAATTCTGTTGCTTCCTCAGATGCAATCAAAGAAGAATAGTCCATGCTTCACAGGGGAATATTCCATAATATCGTTCAGTCTGTGAACCAATTGCTTCACAGGGGAATATTCCATAATATCGCTCAGTCTATGAACCAATCAGGCCTGTGATCGTGGCTATTCTTCTTGAGTTGTATATTTGTAAAAAAATGTATATTATTTTAGAAGATTCCCTTCAGCTATCACATGTAAGGAACATCCTTAGGCATCCCTTGACCATGGGACAAACACTTTGTTAAATCTCCATGGACCGTGGCACTGTTAATATTGGTATTAATACCATATAGTGTAAACACTTTGTTTAACTTCTTGACCATTTCATGTAAACACTGTTAAATCTTAGACTTTGGGGTAAACACTTTGTTTAGCATCAGGACCATGGAAGGGGAACTTTGGGATTAAAGTACCATACACGGTGTGAATTAAAGAACTAGCGGAGGATCTTCAAAAAGTATTACTTAAGAGAGCAATGCCATGGTGATCATGTTTTAAATCAAAATAGAGTAGAAAAGAGTGGAATCAGCAAGGAATAAAGTAAACAGGCATGTAGTCAACACTCTGAATTGTATAGAAATGTAAAAAATCAGACATTTTATTCAAATTTTAGAGAGAAATGAAGTGAAATAGGCATGGGCAGAAGAATGAAACTGAGTGGATAAAGCATGATCATTGTGACATTTTAATCGGATGTAATCAAATTTATTAGCTGCTGATTAATTTACGGGAAAATACCCAATTTATTATTAATTTTATTATTGTTATTTTAGTGTCCAACTACACTCCTAAATCTACTGTATCAAATGGAATATACTGTAAAATGAGAAATATTTCCACCCTTATTATTTTTCATGATTTGACAATTTTTCATTTACTATTGAATTCATGGATTTTCACTGAATTAATATTAAGTTTTGTTTTTTATTATAAAGGAGGTTCAATTGCACGAAGTTCAAACTTGCACATTTTGACTCCGCAAAATTAAGTTCAAGGGAAAGATTTCTTATTTTACAGTATGAGAAAAATTGATAAAATTCAGCTTTTATTTATTCCAATTTAAATTTTGTAACAGTAAAAAGGTAGTTTTGTTTACCTTCAACTCACCTTCACATTTGATTGAATATATATTCATTACAACTTTAGAATTGATTATATACTATTAAAACAATTATACATTAAGAAATATTATTAAATGGATGACCAAGAGTTAAAATATTAAACAGCATGTTGCTGGATTGGCACCCATGTATTTATAACTACTCACAAAGCTTTTATAAAATACAATCCTATAGGGGCTATTTGTCTAATTTTCTAATTTTGACAAATACTATACTGAATATGGGGGCTATTTGTCTAATTTTGACAAATACTATACTTTTTATGGGGACTATTTGTCTAATTTTGACAAATACTATACTATATATGGGGGCTATTTGTCTAATTTTAACCAAATGAGTGCTTTCTTTGATTGATTTCTTGGCTGATTGGACATTTCCATTTTACAGTAAAACCTGTCTCAACCGAACATCACTTGAACTGACCAAAAGTGTTCAGATTGGCAGGTGTTCGCATTTTGAGTTTTTTCGACTTAAAAGTCTATGAAACATGGAAAATGGGATAGAAAATATCAAATTGATAGATGGAAAAGTTGGACAGAAAATATGAAAGATTGAAAAAATGGGACAGAAAATATCAAATTTAAAGATGGAAAAATGGGACAGAAAATATGAGATTGAAAAAATGGGACAGAATTAAATTGTGTTTACATTGTGAAATATTGTAAGATTAGAGAGGTGTTCAGATATACAGGTTTTACTGTTATAGACATTTGGCTATGCAATTTTCATTATTTAAACCCAAATGGTGAGGTATAGTTATTGTCAAAATTGTCAAAATAACCCATTTGATCAAAATAAGATGGATAATATCCCCTATGGACGATTCACGTGAACACCCTGTATTTATGTCAATGTAAAATGTGATCATAAAGTGAAATTAAAAAAATGAATACGAAACAAACAGTGTTCAAAAAGTATGGATTGAACTGTTTATATATGACTGAATATACATGTATGATAAATGCCCATGTTTATATGAAAAATAGAAATTGTGTGGATGAATTAAGTTCTTTAGTTTTCCCTAATATTTTATGAACTCATTCATATAGAAATTCAATTTACTTCAGTTTAGACTGGTCTCTCATTCTTGTGTTTGCTTGGTAAACCAGTAAAAAATGTCTTGGTGGTCATGTTTTGAAATGCAAAATAGAGTGGAAAATAGTGAAAATAACAAGGAATAAAGTACATAGATTTGTAGTTAATACTCTAAACTGTATAGAGATGCAAGAAAATCAGACACTTTAATCAATTTTTAGAGAGAAATTGAGTGAAATTAGCAAGGAAATGCAAGAAAATTAGAAAATCATGAAACGGTAATGGCAATTTTTACCTATACTGTCATGTGAATATAATGTGAACATGTTATTATTTTCTTGCGCTTCTTAATTCTGATTGATTACTTTATTTTTATTTTAATTGGTACCCTGCAAGGACTTCAGACAGTCGAAAAGGTCACATTCAATGTTTCTTTAAAAAACGCCATCTACAAGATACCAAAACTTCATATCTACATCTGTATTTTTTTATTTTGGATATGACCTTTTCTTGACCTTTAGATGTAATGACTTCCGCAAAAGAAAACAACTGTCTAGTTTCATTCCATTATTTCCTTGTTTCTTTCTCTTATTTTCTCTTAATAACTTTAGAAACCAAACCACCACAACATTCAAAACATGACCAGCAATGTAACTGTACATTTTACATACAATTAATGTGTATTTATTTTAAATGTTAATTTTATATCATTTATAAATATTATGATTTTAAGTACACGTCAGCAGTGTATTTTCATTATTATTATATACTTACAAAAAATACAACACAAAATATTAAAGCAATAAATGGACAATTATCTGATTTTGAAATGCAAAATCTGAAAACAGTGCATGTTTTTCATTCATCAGTAAGACAATCACAATTTTAGAATCCTCCTCTCTTCCCCAAATATTTCGCAAAGTCCATTGCCGAGAATGAAAACTTTAAAAGCTGTGCGTTTGAATCCAAACACTACCAAATTCACAGCTGGCAACATTTGGATTTCCACATAAAACCCAACTCCAATAAACTACAGTCTGAGTAATAAATAACTAGTCATGGATATGCTGAAGTGATGAGGGTTTCCCATGTTAAAAATAAGAGGATTTTCAAGAGGCCATACAACAGTGGATGAGAGTATACAAAATATGTATCTAGAACAATCATATGAGGGTGTATTAGGTATTCTTGGAAAGGTTATTCAATTCCCAGTATTTTGAGCTCTCTTAAACTCATGATTTCTCTGTTAAGCCATGCCTTGTTCAATTTTAAGAAAGGTTTCAGGTTAAAAGACCAGCTACGAAAAAAGTTATCAAAAAAATCTTAGGGGGAATCAGATCTGCCCCCCCCCCTTCCTAACCGTTTAAGGTTAACAGTTAACATGTGACTCCAATTTTGATTTCTCATCATTTGAACTTCCTAATGACACGAGGAATATGAATTTTAAATCACTTTGGGGATCTTCCCAGTAAAACTAAGGATAACTACAAATACAGGGAATAGCCATAAACTAAAAATGGAGGAGGTAATTTGAAAAAGATGAGGCAAATGGGAATAGGTGAGGCAAATGGGAATAGGTGAGGCAAATGGGAATAGGTGAGACAAATTTAAATAGATGAGGCAAACTAACCTAAATGAATAGTGTAATTTCATTGAACTTCAAAGTTTCAGTTTGAAATATGCATACAGTCCCATTGCCCATAAGAAGGGGGCATTTTTTGAAAAATTCCAGGGGGGTTCAGTTTTGACAGAATTGCCCAAAATGGCCAAAATCACTTGAAAAGTGTTCAAAATGGTGAAAAACTGAATGATTTTGAAAGAATTTTGGACCAAGGAAGGGGGGGGGGCTCGAACCCCTTTAGCTACGGGTCTGGCATAAAAATATATATAACATTTTAATGAGACACTTGCCTCATCTGTAGTGCTCTGCATGAAGTGCAAGTGGCATTGCTTATGAGGTTAAAAGCACAGCCACTATTTTACTTTATTTAAATAGGTCCTCTTCTATTTTTCCTGATATATCATCTCCTACGGTTGTTATGTTAAATGTGTGACATGACATGGGTTAAACATTACCTGTATGTGTGACATCAGTTTAATATTACCGATATGTGTGACATGACATGGGTCAAACATTACCAATATGTGTGACATGACAATGGTTTAACAATACCGATATGTGTGACAAGACAATGGTTTAACATTACCGATATGTGTGACATGACATGGGTTTTACATTACCGATATGTGTGACATGACATATGTAACAGGCTTGTTAGACACCCTGTACTAAGGTTTAGCTTACAAGTTATTTAGTGAATTAAGTGAGCCATACAACTGTTCTCAACCTCACTTTAGGGTTCAATTTTCTATTTCAATAGGTACTTTCTATGTACAAGCTATTTTTAGCCCATTGTATTTTTGTATTGACTATGTATTTTCAAACCCTGCTGTGGCAGTGATTTGTAGTTTTCATCTGTAAAGCTCAGTTCACTGGCTGAGACTGTCCAAGCAGGACAACTGGGTAAATATTGTACTATTTTTTACATTTTTGTAATGTCATGGTCCAAAGTCTCCCACTTTGTAATATTTTATAGCATACATTTCTTACTTATTTCAACTATAATGACCATATTATAAACACTAGTTGAGAAGTAATAATTGTTAGCTTCATCTTCAATGTAAACCTGTTTGTAATATTTAGTCCATGTGTCACGCCCAATTTGTGTCCAGCTTTCATGGCTGTACATTTTGGTTTCTATTGATTGTAGAGTGACACGTTATCTACTGTACCATGCTTAGCCAGTGGGCTCATAACCTCATCCCCTAGGGACCATTAGTAAGTTTTTTATCATAGCCTTATCTTACTTAGTAAACTTGTAAGTTTGTAATAATTGGATGT